GCAATTGAATGACTAAAAGTGTAATTCTTGCATTAGAATACCATTGTGGAATTGTGATCCCCAGAAAAAAAGTTTGAGCAGTTGAATGTACATCAAAACAACTACTGAACCAACGCCTTTGAATTGCAGCCATTTGAAGCCTCAATGCTAAAGCCGGTTACAAGGGCTTCACTGCTTTTTCCTTAACCTCAGATAGTAGCGAAAATTTACAAGTCACTGACATCCTGAATAATTACTCACTTGCACGGCATTCCAAACTGTTTGCATGGTAGCGTTGGAGAAGGCGTGCTGAGACAATCAATTTTAAAAAAGGGCCACACTAACAAACAAGGTTTGAGTAGGAAGAAAAAGTTGTCTATTTTGCGGAAAGTTCCTTCACACTGGGCACCCATGTTTCGCCGCTCAACGGAGGAGGCACCTTGGCAAAAAACTCACCACAATAATTTCCCGGCGGTCGGTACTGACCCACTACGATGGCTAAGTCGCCCTCTCGAGCCTTTGCATAGCCGAATCCCGCCCTCCTTGTGTCCGACCACACGCACTGTGTAAAGTGGCCTTCGCCGTACATAAAAAATAAAATTGAGGAAAAATTGATATAAAGACGACGACTACCTATGCAAGACATAGCTAGATCATCCACCTTCTCGGCTATAAACCTCGTGGTGTAGAAGAATCATGTTAAATAAAAGGGTGAATGCCATTGTCAGTCTTTTTCTATCCACCTCTGACACATCCTTGCCTCTAGCAACTACTAATACTAACGATTCGTGGATGCAGCTGTGGAGTCTTGCAGTAGAATGCGAATTACGGGGTCATTAGTTGTACACATTCATCAAAAAGGTCAAATGGATATGCGACAGGCTTCCATCGGCAGTTTGTTGAAGTCTCTGCTATTCAGAGGTGGTATATCTTGAACTTGAGTTCTACTGGCCAGAAATAGTTTGCGAAGGTGTCTTTACCGAAAACATTACTTTCAAATGCCCTCATCTTAGTAAAACAAACCTTAACTTCTCTCGACGTTTGGAGTGAGAGACCAGTTACTCGACACAGGTTTCAATGAGAGAGACGAGGGTTGGTAAGGCCAGAGCAGGATGAAAAAGCAAAACCACGACTGATTATCAAAATCTGATGGTAGTATGTGCTGCTTTGACCATTTAATTCTTTTTATTCCGAATTCATAGGTGCTTAGGACTCCGGAACTGCGCATTTGTTGGATGACCCGTTTGATTGCGCTTTAGCATTCAGTAAAAGCTTGAGATCCTTCGAGAATTGTAGACTGACTGTATTGTAATGGGAAGATGTTGTTTTCATTAAAGTATATTCAACTTTCACAAAATGTGTTTGCTTTGTGTGTGTGTGTGTGAACAGAGGAAACTGTTTACATGTCATGACCGAGATCATTTGGCTCCGTCCAGGTAAGACCACTCTTTCTTATATGACAACACAGCACGGGATAGGAGAAGTTGTACTGCTCCAAAGCTGGTCAGTGGAATGTGTACTCCAAGGAAGGCTTAAATCCCACTGGACAGCCTGAGCATTACACGAAGACTGGCTACTGGCATTTGCTCTAAGGGAGTTCAGTCCGCGGACCTACCACTGAGAGAGTGGAATAAAAGAGGTACCCGGCGGCGGTAACTGTGACGGAATGACTTCATGTTTAAGAAAAGCAGCCAAATGCCTTTAGTTAAATGCCGTTTTTAATAAG